ACACAGGAGTTTGCAGTTCTTCAGAAAGAAGACTGAGCTAGCTTGGCTTACTGCTTCTCGGGGCCTCCGCCAAATCGAACTGCGCCTAGAGCTTGAGTCATGACCGTCTCAAAGGCACTAAATTCTGAAAAAATGGGAATAATCCTAAAAATATCACATTTTTACTATTTTGGCCACAGGTCTTTCTTATCTCGATGGCGCCAAGTCAAGCCAAAGGTCATTAAATCGGTCGCGTCATTAATAAAAGTGAACCTGTAACTTTTGTTGCTGGAGATAGAAAACATTTGTTATCACATTACCCATTGCAGTGAGTCCTTTTTTTTACTCCCTTACTGTTAATGGCGTCACAGAGCGTTTTGGACCGGTCTATGCCGATTCTGATGAAGAACGACTTAGGAAATAAAAAGGAAAAAACTGTTTACGAAATACCGACATATTTCGTAATGTCTCTTGCTACCCATAGAAAACATAGCAAGCGCTGGGGCTGAGCATTGTCCAGTGTCTGGAACTCAATGAATTCTGTCTTCATGAAGAATTGAGAGAGCTGCACACTGAACGATGGTCGATCCTACTTCCTATAAACGGCAACGTCTGTCTGTCTGTCTCTCTGACTGTCTGTAAGTGTGTCTGCGTGTCTGTCCCGAAAATTTGGCATTACCTGAAGATCCGGTTTGAGGGGCCGGGTCAATGGTGAGATGGGTAGGGTGTGAACCAAGATGTGCTAAACACACTGTGGGCGGGACGTGCGCACAGTTGTGAGCTACTTATTTCAAAATTCATAATTTGGTTCCAGAAGAGCCCGGGACCAGGAAAATGTGGCAAACGATAGGCAGTCAGTCGGCGGAAGAAATGATCGAGGCACATTCATTGCGGGCGGGGTTTGCTGTAGGTGGGCGGTGCTTGCTACGAAACTTTCGAATATTCGTAGTTCCCAAAAGAGCCCCGAGAGCGGAAAAAGTGGGAAACGATAGGGAATGAATGGGTGGACGGTTGAGGGAGGCACATCTGCTGTGGACGTGGCTTGAATCAGAATTTCGTGGTTCAGTCCCAAATGAGCCAAGAGAGCGGGAAAAGTGGGTAACGATAGGAAATGGGTAGGGAAACTGAATGCAGACGTAATTGCAATGAACGAGGCTTTCGTCAAAGTGCTATATACCTCCTCAACGAAATGGCAGACTATCACCACGCATCGCGCATTCTTACACCGCACGTTGTCAAGGAAGCACCAAAGAATATCCAGCTAGCACAACTTCCACAGTTACTGTTACACTACAATAAGATCGATATACACAGGGATACCCAGATAACAGGAGTTTATAATACCCACTGCTCCCTGACGTACGTGGTCCTGAAACCAAGTAACGCAGGCAGATAGAGGACAGCGGCTGCCAAAGTATCGAAAAGAAACACGTAGCGAGCCAGGAATCGGGCTTTTTCAGGGGGGGGAGGGGACTCCGGGGTGGGTGAATCACTTATAGTCCGTGAAAAGCTGGAATGTGCGAAGTCACAACAACCACGAGTGCCATGCGGACGAGAGAGTGCAGAGAAAGCAGAAGATCGACGCATTCAGAGGGATTGAGTTCAAGTTGTCCGTAGACGATAAAAGTTTCCTTACCCTCTATTCCAACCCTGTCGAAGAACCATCGAGTCTTTCATATTGCTTCCGATGAGGCTTGCTGTAAGCTACAGATTTCACTCAAAGTGCCAAAGGCATCCGTGCGCAGCAATACGGTTTGAATTTGCTCGCCGTGGTTGAGGTGATGGACACACAAAAGACGTCTCGTTTGCTGTAGCTGTGAATCTTTCTGAGGAATGTTCACTTCTGCCAAACGAGGCTGTTGGATGAACCTTTTATTGGCCTAACGTTTCGACCTTCTCGTCTTCTTCAGAGGCCTGAAAATGGCTCGAAGCTTTTAATTTGTTACCTACCCGACCAAACGCCCTCCCCACTCTAGACCTCATTTCCCGAACGCTTCCGAACAACTCGGCAATGAGGGAAAACGTGGAGATCACTATGATGAATGTCTATCTAACACGCCCGGCTATGGCTGCACATTTCTGTGCCAACTCTTCTCTGTGACACATACAGGGGGGGGGGGCAAAAAAAAAGACATTTCGACCGAGTCACATATCAGCAAAGTTTTCGCTGCCCAGAGAGAAGACGTGGATACGAGTACCAGGGGAAAGATACCCAAGATGTTCCTCGATAAGCAGGAGCTGGCTCTCGCCCATCACCTTCATGTACACCAAAATATGAGCTGCGTTTATACTGCTGCGGCCAGTGTTAGTCGTAGCCGGTTGTACGTAGCCGTTCCAGCGTACGCCAGCGGCAGTGCCGGGGAAGGATGCATATCGATCTAGCGTTCCCAGCGTCACCAGCGTCACGCTAGCGTACGCCAGCGTTTCTCCAGCGTTTCACCAGCGTTTTGCTAGCGTTTGCAGCGGCAGGGGAGTAGAGACTATGGGAGAGCTGGAGGGTACAAAACACATCGATTGCGCGTCTCTCACTCGCCCTTAGTCTCTACAATGCACATCGCTTCTGCGTCTCCGACGGCCACATAGTCTCTACTATACACATCGATTCCGCGTCTCTGACGGTCACATAGTCTCTACTATACACATCGATTCCGCGTCTCTGCCGGCCACATAGTCTCTACAATACACGTCGATTCCGCGTCTCTCACGGCCACATAGTCTCTACTCCCTGCCGCTGCAAGCGCTAGCAAAACGCTGGTGCCGCTGGAGAAACGCTGGAGAAACGCTCGAGAAACGCTGGTGAAGCTAGATCGATAGCTATGCTTCGCCGATGCGCTCGCTACCGGCCAGCTACGCTGGTGAACGCTGAAGCTAAGATCGATATGGACTATCCTGTTCCGGCACTGCGCTGGCGTAAGCTGGAAGCGCTACGCTACGCTGCCGCAAAGTATAAACGCAGCCTGAAGTCTCCATTCGCAGCCTGACTGGAGAAGACCTTTGGAATTCATGTCACCTCCAAACAGCTGGCGAAAACTTCTAGTATGGAGTCACCCATGGGTAGCTGGAGACCTGGAGAGCAGTACTCTCGATCTGGAAGACCTCCATCATCGAGCAGCTCCGTCAACGTCGCTACGGTCTAGGACATCATCTTCACCTCAGTCGCCAAGGCGCCAGTTGATGGTGGGGACCGACATACACTCGGCGGTCCCCACCACCCCTACCTGGAATGGAGAGACCGATATTTTCTTCGTGGGCCCCGGACTAAAGGTGAGCGCTGGCGGTTACATCGAGCAACTCGAAATGGATATCCTCTCCACTTCTCGTCGCCCGTACTTCTTGAAACATTTGATACTGCCTATCAGATGGGTGTGAAGACAGCATGAATCACAAGCGCAGTTTGAGAAAAACTCTTTGCCTACTTGCGAATGGAAGGGCAATGAGTACTGCAAGGTTAAGGTGGAATATCCAAGCAGGCGTAAACCTGACCTAAAATTCCTCAATTACCTGGTTCGGGCGGAGTTCAATAGGGTGGTCTACAGTGGCGGAGAAATCAACGATCTCGCTGAACTCACGCACCCACTGACGGTCGCGTGGCAGAATCTCTCGATGGCGCTCCTCCAGAAGGCTGTGGCGGAGTATCATGATAGTATTTGAATATGCTCTTTAATATGGTGGTAGAAATGTCCGATAATAATTTATACTAAAGTGTAACTTATAGCTCCTCGATAAGGTCGAGCGAAGAAAAAGTTTCTATTTCGCTCCCCCCCCCTGTAACATACACTAGGTCCTGCTATTGTTGCGCCCTCGACTCTTGCGGTCTCCGAGCTCATTCGGAGATGCCCGTTACTCTGCGATGTGAACTCTCATATGCTTGCAGGTAGCACCAAATATTCTGCAGTATTGTGACGCCGTTATGTAATTTTTCTCACAGTAGGAGAGTTCTTGAGCTCATTAGCGAAAGAGAGTCTTCCGTTTGATTAATGTCAGTTCAGAAAGGGATTCGTCCTAAAAAAAGAGAACCTAGCACTTCATTGTGCCATGCATGGTATAACTTAAACATCAGGTTTCTGAATAAAACTCTTGCTAAACTGATTAGATCGGTTTCATTGTGAGAAGCAGGCCTACATTTCGTGTAACAGTATTCCATAACTAGAACAAAAGAAAAAAAACCGCATTGAGCATGTCTATCAAGCATGGCAGTGGGAAATTTCCCAGTTGCTGCCTTGTTTGGATGTGCAATTCACATCGAGTCGCGTATTCGAATGGGCATCGAACTACCTGATAGAACGAGAAATGGATCGAGTATTGTCCTGGCCCTGCATATCAGTGTTCACGTCGATAGTGCCCTTAAACAGCCTCGTACAGAATTGGCTGCAAAGTGCATCCGTCAAAATACTTCCAGTCCTCATAAATCATTTCCATACACTACACCATAAGGAGCAAAACAAAGTTCTTATTCCTGTTTAGTCATAAAAAACTATAAAAAATTCAATTGGGCGGAACAAAAACAGTCTGGTACCCAAGGCAACACTTCTATTCCTAAATTGTCTTGTCTACCAAATATGGGTTTAGCAGTCCTCCTTAATTTTGCTGCTTTACCCCACTCTAACGTCATGCCAACTGGGTGACCTTCTTGGCACACTTCTTGGATCAGGTTGGTTTCTTTGAAATGCTGCTAGTACGTTATGTCCTCGTAGCTGTGGCCAAGTCATTAATGTCCTTAAATCACAGCTGATTCCTCCAGTCCTCGTCGACAGTGAGGGGCCATCTATTGTTTTTGGGCTACCCAGTTCCTTGGTGAGACAATGCATATTGAACGCGATTGATTGATCTCACCATTCTCTATCAATAAAACGTCTGGTTATTATTCAATTTGATGTGACTGTTCAGGCCTTGCCATCAGCCGTGCCATCAACAATCCTGGTGGCTTTGGTGGATCTCAGGGTTTCAGCGGGCCCCAAGGTGGATTTGGCGGGAACCAAGGAGGGTTCGGAGGCCCTCAGGGTGGATTCGGGGGGAATCAGGGTGGATATGGAGGAAACCAAGGTGGATACGGAGGGAATCAGGGAGGATTTGGAGAGAATCAAGGAGGATATTATGGGAACCGGGGAGGATTCGGAGGGAACCAGGGAGGTTATGGAGGAAGTCAAGGTGGATTCAGAGGCAACCAAGGTGGATTCGGAGGAAATCAAGGTGGATTCGGAGGGAATCAGGGAGGATATGGAGGAAACCAAGGTGGTTTCGGAGGAAATCGAGGTGGATTCGGAGGAAATCAGGGAGGATATGGAGGAAACCAAGGTGGATTTCGGAGGAAATCAGGCGGATTCGGAGGAAATCAGGGAGGATTTGGAGGAAACCAGGGTGGATTCCAAGGGAATCAAGGTGGATTCGGAAGAAATCAGGGAGGATATGGATTTCCTCAAGGTGGATTTGGAAGGAGATAAATTTGAAAAGAGGTGAGACTGCTTTCATTCTGCTTTTCGCTTTACTATGCATTCCTTACAAAGCTCATCAGCATTTGATTTAGTGAATATAAAATTTTGTCACAAATTAAGCTCCCTATGCCCCTCTTACAGGGACCAACATAGATAGAAGCTAAACTCGATGTGTGTTCATTTGTCTACTGAACAATGTTCCTGGCCAATATACCTGTCCAAATAATCGCTCTGCACTACAGTGCTTGAAATCTACCCGTGGGCGCGCCCATCCGAACCCAAAATTCGTGAAACACTGGGCTGAGAAATAGGATCCGCCGCCTTTGCCTCTTGATGTTTTACCGCAATTATGGCGAAGAACTATAATATTTCACTGCATAATATCTAATATAGCTTTTGAACTGCTCTCTCCTCTGTACTAACAAGGAAAGGATGGTTGGTCGAAGTGGCCATTCGAAATGAGATGTATACTGCCCGATGGGCCCTTGGACGCTGATTACAAATCTGCCCTCCATATCTGCTAAACGATTCCCTGGACAAAGTTATGCAGGAATTTTGACCAGGTCACACCCATTTCCAGCATGTATATAAGGTACACCAAAACGCCCAAATTCGCTGAAATCTGAAACTTAGAGGTGCTCTGGTGCCCTGGAAATCAACACTGCAGTCATTTTTCGTGAAAATATCTTGTTCGCCTTCTGGAGGGGCAGGGTGTGCAGGAACCTGCAACGTCCTTGGCAAGCGTTTTTACGCCGAACGAGTGTGATATTCGTGCTCTGGGGCTCAAATTAGCCCTAGAGACAAGTTTTCAACCAAATTTGAGATTTCGACCTATTTTCGATACAGTGGGGTAACCATGGGCATCAAATTCCTTAAGGTCGCTGGCACTATCGCCGATCAAAATCTCTGTGAGCAATGGAGCTTTTCCGCTGAATTTCAGTCCTTGCTGGTTATTGACGGTCCTGATCACAACCACGACATTCATTTGGCTTCCATGCCATTTGGAATCAGTTTGGCGACACAACCGAGCGCAACGAATAATGCCACCGGCACCAACAATCAGTTTTCTTTAAAAGTGTTCCAGAATGGCTCTATTCCTTCAGAAATAAAATTTTCCGGTGGATCAGGTCTCCTAGCCCCGCAAAAGTGCTTTTAGGATGTGCAGGAAGCATTTTTGAGAAAATGCAAAACGACAAATTACGGAAGGATCCGAACCCTTGACCTTGCACACATGAGGCCGGTCGCTTCTCCACTACGCCATTGAGGCACGTGTGCAATGAGCTCACCCATCATTTAGATACTTGCTGAGCATTGGTGGTCTCGAAGCAGTGGTCTGCTCAACAAGCTTCCGTATCGGAGAATCGTTTAGCAGATTTGGAGGACAGATTTGAAATCAGT